TGGATGCATGGTTTTTTTCAATCAGAAGGGGATGCAGACTCTCGAATCCACTGAGCTTGTTTGGGGCAGGATCCTGAGGTCCCAGACCCCTACGGGGAGAGGCGGGACGGCCTTGCAATGGGCCGGAGAACGAGAGTGGCTGTCTCGCAGAGCTGCTCACTGGCACTCAGGGACGCGAGACGCAGAGTCGCGGAGAGGCGAGGAGTCACGGAGACGCCATTGCCCCTTGCTCCGCCCTGGTGATTCCCAGGTACCCCGCCCTACTCAATTTACATCCCCACCCAAGCTGTGCCAGTGTCACAAAGGGAACCACCGGCGCTTTTGCAGCCCAGCCCAGCACACTGCAGATTTCAACTCCTCGCATACATAAAGGACACACTCAAGAAGCACAATCAGGTTCGGAGGAAGCTGGAGCCGGACCCAGCTGGGCCAGCGACATGGATCCGCTATACCAGCAAACGCACAGGCAGGTCCCCCAGATCCAGTCTCACATGGGACGCTGGGAGACGGCAGACAGGCAGTCTGTGCACTTGATAGAAAACAAAATCCAAGCAAGCATACCAGATATTCAGCCACCAGGAACGCCTGCAGATTTTGTCCAGCAAGGAGCCATCCAACAAAGGACAGAATGCCAAACTTCATGTTGCTGAGTCGGCCCCCATAGGGCTGAGGCGGCCCCCGTGAGGCTGAGACAGCCCCTGTGAGGCTGCGACGGCCCCGGTGAGGTTGGGACAGCCCCGGTGAGGCCGAGACGGCCCTGTGAGGTTGAGACAGCCCCTGTGAGGCTGGGACGGCCCCTGTGAGGCTGAGACGGTCCCTGGGAAGCCGAGAAAAATACCACATAAACTCACTCATTTATGGATAATAAGGACCATTATAGACTGATGAACAAAAATGGATACGGAGGCACAGCAGCATTGAGCACTACAGTGGGAAGCCTGGGGAGGGTTGGGGGGAGTATGAGATCAACCGAAGAACTTGTATGCATGCATATAAGCATACCAATGGTCACAAGACACTGTCGGGTAGGGGAGGCTGGGGAAAGATCAAGGGGGGAAAAAAGGAGACATATGTAATACTCTTTGTAATACTTTAAGCAATAAAACAAAATTTTTTTTTTAAAAAAAAGAAGCTGCTGCCAATGAAGCCCAAAGCTAGCCATCAGATCTTCAGGGGGAGGCAGGATCCAGACAATTGCTGCAGGAGAGTGACAAAACATTTCTAGGTCAAGGAGTGGGGTCGGGTAGGAAAAGGGAGGGAATTGAAGTCAGAACTTCCATAGTTGTTTTTCTTAGTCAGCTAAGTTGGGGAAAAAATACTAATAAAACCATGTATTTTTTATTCTTCCCAATTTGCCTTGTCTCTACATTCCTTTCTTATAGAGCTTGCAAGACAGAACAATGGTTGAATTTTAAAGCAGGTTATATACATGGGTATTCTTAGTAAGCACACATTATGTATTTTTTAAAATCCTTTTACAACTACTGGTCTTCATTTCTGTAAAACTTTCCTGAGTGAGATATTTGGTTGTTATTGCAAAATTGGCCTTTTCTAAAACTTACTGTTCTTATATTGTATTTTCTCCCAAGTCCAGATGCTTTCTAAAAGTCAAGTCACTTGAAAAGTTAAAAAACAAAACAAAAAACACATGTACCTTAGTAGTAAGGTACTCTCTAGAAAATAAGAGAAACATAATTTTATTATGAAGCTATAATAGAATTTTTTTAACATATATTTTATTGATTTTTTACAGAGAGGAAGGCAGAAGGATAGAGATTTAGAAACATCAATCAGCTGCCTCCTGCACACCCCCCACTGGGGATGTGCCTGCAACCAAGGTACATGCCTTTGACCGGAATCGAACCTGGGACCCTTCAGTCCGCAGGCCAACGCTCTATCCATTGAGCCAAACTGGTCAGGGCTATAATAGAATTTTTAATAATTTTTAATATCTATCATAATTTTAACATCTCGAATTGTATTCCTTTGGAAACTTTAATATTATATTTTAAAGTTTATGTGAATATTTGCTAAATTAATTACTCATAAATCTAAATCTTGACTTGCCTACATAACTATAAAGAGGATATATTGGGAGGGAGATACAACTGAGTACATGTAATTTTAACAATTCCTTTGAGGTTATGTAACATATTTCTGCCTTAAGAATTGGAGTAAATTGTATATCAGAGTAACTTGAGAAGAGTTTAACATATTAACATATCAATTTTTAAATAAAAGAGAGAAATCAAGCAAGTTTATTTAAATTCCTTTCATTGATTAGTACCTTCTCACAAAAACGCCCCCAGAAGACACTTTCTTCTTCACTCGCTTCTTCTCTTTGCTTGACTCAAAAGAAGAGTCATCTTCCTATAAATGACAAAAAAAAGAGAACCAAGTAAGATTTCTACCCTAGACACATTTTATCTTTCTATTTGTTCCAAAAGAAAAAAATTAATGATGCTAATATTTCCAACTCTAGATTAAAGTAAAATAAAACAGTGTCAGGAAGTTTGCCTTACAGATCAGGTTTGAGGTGATACAGGTCTGGAACAGAACTAACTCACCCTTGGTGACTGAAGAAAAAATTTCCCATGAAAGGAAAATATGTAATGTACCCAAATCCCTACACTATGTCACACGAGCTGTCCACAAGGACCACATCATGGCTGTCTTCACTCACAGAAGGGAGCAAGGGTAAAGTTTCCCCAATGTACTTTCTGCCTCTTCTCCTGAGACCAGATGGCCTGAAATACAAGTACCACTGGGTTTCCTGCTGACGCTGTCACTCAATTATAAAAATACTCCACCTGCTTTCCTGTATTTGTTCTTTGTATCTGTTTCCATATTCGTTTCTTTTTAGCTTCCTTCTAGAGATTTGTCCTTTTCATCTATAACTATAAGCATTTTCCTATATTCCAAATTCCAAATTCATAGTTCCAGCTGGGAATTATGAAAAGAGATAAGGCTATGGAATCAAAAGTTAGAGATTGAATACTGATCCCACCATAACTAGTTGTGTGAATTTAGACAACTCCACTCTCTGAGCCTCAGTTTCCTCAGATGTTAAATGAGGGCAGATCAAATGACATGTGATAATATGTGTAAGAACGCTGTGTTACAAATGTAATCTGAACAAAGGGATACTATGACAACTTCCATGCTGGCTTTCTAGTCTTAAAATTGCTCTTTTGAGAAACTGACGCTTTCTTACATGGATTCCACTCAAAGCACTTGATTTTGGCTATTTAGAATGTTAATTTATATTTATATATACTCTCTAATTGCCTTAGAATTCTTGATTACTCTGCAAATATTTTTTCCTTATATAGTACAATAATAAGAACAACACTGCACATTTATGAACCAGGCTTCTGTTCTAACCAATATATATGTAGATATATATGTAGATATGTGTGTACTAGAGGCCCGATGCACAAAATTCATGCAAGAGTAGGCCTTCCTTCCCCTGGCTGCTGGCACCAGCTTCCCTCTGGCACCCAGGACCCGGGCTTCCCTCTGGCACCTGGGACTCAGACTTCCCTCGCAGCCCTGGCTTCATCTGGAAGGTCATTTGGAAGGATTTCCAGTCTAATTAGCATATTACCCTTATATTATTATAGACTAGGAGCCCGGTGCACGAAATTCGTGCATGGGGATGGGTCCCTCAGTCCGACCTGCACCCTCTCCAATCTGGGAGCCCTCAGGGGAGTCCTCTCCAATCCGGGAGTTTCTGCCTGTCTTTGCAATCATATGAGCGAATTGTCTGAGACCCCAACCCAATTTGGTTTGGTGCTCACAGAATAATAGAGGTCTTTGTTTTTCTTTGCTCCATTGGTGGAGATTTTTTCTAAAAGTCAAGTCACTTGAAAAGTTAAAAAACAAAACAAAAAACACATGTACCTTAGTAGTAAGGTACTCTCTAGAAAATAAGAGAAACATAATTTTATTATGAAGCTATAATAGAATTTTTTTAACATATATTTTATTGATTTTTTACAGAGAGGAAGGCAGAAGGATAGAGATTTAGAAACATCAATCAGCTGCCTCCTGCACACCCCCCACTGGGGATGTGCCTGCAACCAAGGTACATGCCTTTGACCGGAATCGAACCTGGGACCCTTCAGTCCGCAGGCCAACGCTCTATCCATTGAGCCAAACTGGTCAGGGCTATAATAGAATTTTTAATAATTTTTAATATCTATCATAATTTTAACATCTCGAATTGTATTCCTTTGGAAACTTTAATATTATATTTTAAAGTTTATGTGAATATTTGCTAAATTAATTACTCATAAATCTAAATCTTGACTTGCCTACATAACTATAAAGAGGATATATTGGGAGGGAGATACAACTGAGTACATGTAATTTTAACAATTCCTTTGAGGTTATGTAACATATTTCTGCCTTAAGAATTGGAGTAAATTGTATATCAGAGTAACTTGAGAAGAGTTTAACATATTAACATATCAATTTTTAAATAAAAGAGAGAAATCAAGCAAGTTTATTTAAATTCCTTTCATTGATTAGTACCTTCTCACAAAAACGCCCCCAGAAGACACTTTCTTCTTCACTCGCTTCTTCTCTTTGCTTGACTCAAAAGAAGAGTCATCTTCCTATAAATGACAAAAAAAAGAGAACCAAGTAAGATTTCTACCCTAGACACATTTTATCTTTCTATTTGTTCCAAAAGAAAAAAATTAATGATGCTAATATTTCCAACTCTAGATTAAAGTAAAATAAAACAGTGTCAGGAAGTTTGCCTTACAGATCAGGTTTGAGGTGATACAGGTCTGGAACAGAACTAACTCACCCTTGGTGACTGAAGAAAAAATTTCCCATGAAAGGAAAATATGTAATGTACCCAAATCCCTACACTATGTCACACGAGCTGTCCACAAGGACCACATCATGGCTGTCTTCACTCACAGAAGGGAGCAAGGGTAAAGTTTCCCCAATGTACTTTCTGCCTCTTCTCCTGAGACCAGATGGCCTGAAATACAAGTACCACTGGGTTTCCTGCTGACGCTGTCACTCAATTATAAAAATACTCCACCTGCTTTCCTGTATTTGTTCTTTGTATCTGTTTCCATATTCGTTTCTTTTTAGCTTCCTTCTAGAGATTTGTCCTTTTCATCTATAACTATAAGCATTTTCCTATATTCCAAATTCCAAATTCATAGTTCCAGCTGGGAATTATGAAAAGAGATAAGGCTATGGAATCAAAAGTTAGAGATTGAATACTGATCCCACCATAACTAGTTGTGTGAATTTAGACAACTCCACTCTCTGAGCCTCAGTTTCCTCAGATGTTAAATGAGGGCAGATCAAATGACATGTGATAATATGTGTAAGAACGCTGTGTTACAAATGTAATCTGAACAAAGGGATACTATGACAACTTCCATGCTGGCTTTCTAGTCTTAAAATTGCTCTTTTGAGAAACTGACGCTTTCTTACATGGATTCCACTCAAAGCACTTGATTTTGGCTATTTAGAATGTTAATTTATATTTATATATACTCTCTAATTGCCTTAGAATTCTTGATTACTCTGCAAATATTTTTTCCTTATATAGTACAATAATAAGAACAACACTGCACATTTATGAACCAGGCTTCTGTTCTAACCAATATATATGTAGATATATATGTAGATATGTGTGTACTAGAGGCCCGATGCACAAAATTCATGCAAGAGTAGGCCTTCCTTCCCCTGGCTGCTGGCACCAGCTTCCCTCTGGCACCCAGGACCCGGGCTTCCCTCTGGCACCTGGGACTCAGACTTCCCTCGCAGCCCTGGCTTCATCTGGAAGGTCATTTGGAAGGATTTCCAGTCTAATTAGCATATTACCCTTATATTATTATAGACTAGGAGCCCGGTGCACGAAATTCGTGCATGGGGATGGGTCCCTCAGTCCGACCTGCACCCTCTCCAATCTGGGAGCCCTCAGGGGAGTCCTCTCCAATCCGGGAGTTTCTGCCTGTCTTTGCAATCATATGAGCGAATTGTCTGAGACCCCAACCCAATTTGGTTTGGTGCTCACAGAACAATAGAGGTCTTTGTTTTTCTTTGCTCCATTGGTGGAGATTTTCAGGGAGTTCAGGATATCTTCCTTTTAATTTTTCCTCAACACTCTGACTTTACTTAGGTCTCTCACTTTTGCTTTCCCTCCATCCCCCACCCACAACAGTAACTTGCTCCAGGCTCACTTTGCTCTAGTGTCTAGAGATCCTGCAATGCTTCTACCACCAGAACTACGATTCCCAGCAGTCCTGGTGCTCCCCGCGCTGTGGGCTTCTGCTTCCGGTCCAGGGGCTGCCACCAGAACTATGATTCCCAGAATTCCTGGTGCTCCCCGCACTCTTGGTTCTGGGAACTTCAGCTGCCCCCAGGCCAGGCTGACAGGACCGGACATTCCAGTGGCATCTCCGGGACCCTGGCCACTTGGCATCGGCGTGCGCACGCACTGGCCACAGGCTCGGAGTGGCTGGGGTCCCGGGGACGCCCGCCGCATCACACCCTGCCCCCTGGCCGCTCGACACCCACGCGCATGCATGCTGCCCACAGGCCTGCCATCTTTGTCGGGTTAATTTGCATACCGACTCCTGATTGGCTGTGGGTGTTGTGGAGGGATGGTCAATTTACATATTTGTCTATTATTAGTATAGATATATGAAGGAATATACATAGATATATATTCATTTAAACCTTACAACACTCTAGAAAATATAAATTATTACCTCCAGTTTACAACTAAGGCAAAGAGAAGTTAAATGATTTGTTCAAACCAAAAAAGGGTTGTAGCCAGGAATCAAATCCAGATATCCCCAGTCCAAAACTTGAACTCTTCACTACTCTTGTATACTACTTCTTGAGAAAGATCAATGTGTTAAGAAGGACACTAACCGCCGGCATGAAATTGGGGACCTGAATTTCTTCCAGGGTCTCCCTGAGCTGATCCACCTCTGCTCGACACTCATCCAGCTGACTTTCTAGTTTTTCTCTCCGCAGTCGTTCGTACTGCAGCTGGCCCTGCAGCTCTTGGATAGTCCTGTCAAAAACAGATTTTGTTTTCAGTCAGTCTCCAATATGAACTAAATATGATTTTGGTAAGAGTGAAAAGCATCTGTGCACTGTATTTAAGGCAAATAAAAAAATAACTGTACAATGGGGCCTTGACTTACGAGTTTAATTCGTTTCATGACGGAGCTCGTAACTCAAATTACTCGCATGTCAAATCAAAAGTGAACGAGTGAGACACATGATGCTGGGCTGATGTTGTGGCGTTCACTGTGACGTTCACTGCGCCAACTAGCGGTGGGGTATCTGAAGCTGGCTCGTAACCCGAATTTTAGCTCAAAACTCAAAGCAAAAAATCGGCCGAGAGATGGCTCGTATCTCGAAAAACTCGTTAGTCGGGACACTCGTAAGTCAAGGCTCCACTGTATTCTACAAATATGTATTGAGGAGCTACATGAACCAACACTGATCTAGATACTGGGGATCAGCAGTAAACCAAATGGGCCAAATATGCCCTCGAGGTCTTGCCTTAGCAGTGGAGGAAGACAGACAGGAAAGAAAATAAGAAATTATGGTATGTTGGAAGTTGATAAATGCTAAGGGAGAAAAAATAAAGCAAGAAAGGGTCATATAAAATGTTGTTGAAGAGGGCATTAACACTTCATACACAGTGGCAGGGAAGGCCTTACTAAGAAGGTGCTTCTGAGCAAAGTTCTAAAGAAATGAGGGAGATAATCAAGCAGACCTCCAGGGGAAGGGCATTACACACGGAAGAGCGGGTGTAAAGGCCCTACATCAGAAGTATGCCTGGTGACCTGAAAGAAAACCAGAGGCCATGTGGTTGGAATAGTTTAAAGTATAAAAGGGATAGTAGGTCAGAGAGGTAAAAGGACTCCAGTAAAGTAGAGCTTTTACTCTCAGTGAAATGGGAAGCCACTTGAGGATCTGAGCAGAGAAATGGCATGAATTGATTTAAACTTCTTTTGTTTTCTTTTGCTTTGCTTTGTGTGTGTTTTTGCTATTGATTTACAGATACTTTACCATCCTTGCATCCCTGGAATAAACTCTACCTGGTCATGGTGTATGATCTTTCTAATGGAATGCTGATCTGATTTGCTAGAATTTTGTTGAGGATTTTAGCATCTATGTTCATCAGAGATATTGGCTTGTAATTCTCTTTCTTTGTAGTGCCTTTATCTGGTTTGGGAATTAGGGTAATCCTGGCTTCATAGAAAGAACTTGGAAGTGGTTCCTTCCTCTTGAATTTTTTTGGAATAGTCTGAGGAGGATAGGTTTTAATTCTTTTTTGAATGTTTGGTAAAACTCCCCAGTGAAGCCATCTGACCAGAGCTTTTGTTTGTTGGAAGTTTTCTTATTACTGCTTCAATTTCCTCCATAGTTATCAACCTATTCAGATTTTTTTATTCTTCCTGATTGAGTTTTGGAAGGTTGTATTTTTCTAGAAATATGTCCATTTCTTTTTTTTTTTTTAAATATATTTTATTGATTTTTTACAGAGAGGAAGGGAGAGAGATAGAGAGTTAGAAACATCGATCAGCTGCCTCCTGCACACCCCCTACTGGGGATGTGCCCGCAACCAAGGTACATGCCCTTGACCGGAATCGAACCTGGGACCCTTCAGTCCGCAAGCCGACGCTCTACCCACTGAGCCAAACCGGTTTTGGCAGAAATATGTCCATTTCTTCTAGGTTGACCAGTTTGTTGGAATAGAGTTGTTCACAGTATTTTTTTTACAATCCTTTGTATTCCTGTAGGGTCTGTTGTTATTTCACCTTTTTCATTTCTGATTTTGTTTATTTGGGTCCTCTCTCTCTGCTTCTTGGTGAATCTGGCTAAAGGTTCATCAACCTTGTTTATCCTTTCAAAGAACCAGCTCTTGGTTTTATTTATCTTTTGAATTGTGTTTTTGGTCTCTATGTCATTTCCACTCTGATCTTCATTATTTCCTCCCTTCTGCTCACTCTGGGCATTTGTTGTTGGTCTGTTTCTAATTCTTTAAGTTGTAGAGTTAGGTTATTTATTACCAGTTTTTCTTGCTTTTTTGAGATAGGCCTGTGATGCTATGAACTTCCCTCTCAGGACTGCTTTCACTGTGTCCCATAAATTTTGGGTTGTTATGTTTTCATTGTCATTTGTTTCCAGGATTTTTTTACTTCTCCTTTGATCTCCTTGATAACCCAATCATTGTTTAATAACATGCTATTTTGCCTCCAAGTGTTTGAATTTTTTTGATTATTTATATTGTAGTTATTTCTAATATTAAGCCATTGTGGTCTAAGAAGAAGCTTGATATGATTTCAATCTTCTTGAATTTGAAGAGACTTTGCCTGTGTCGCAATATGTGATCTATCTTTGAAAATGTCCCATATGCACTTGAGAAGAATGTATATTCTGTAGCTTTGGGGTGAAATGTTCTGAAGATGTCGATTAAGTCCATCTGATCTTGCAAGTCACTTAGAATTGTTGTTTCTTTGCTGATTTTTTGTCTAGAGGATTTATCCAGTGATACCAATGAGGTATTAAAGTCCCCTACTATGACTGTATTGTTGTCAATCTCTCCCTTGATGTCTTCCATAAGTTTTTTTTATATATTTGGGTGCTCCTACATTGGGTGCATATATGTTTACCAGAGTTATATCCTCTTGTTGTATCGATCCCTTTAGTATTATGAAGTGGCCTTCCTTATCTCTTGTTATGGCCTTCACTTTGAAGTCTATTTTGTCAGATATAAGTATTGCTACCCCAGCTCTTTTTTCATTTCCATTTGCCTGAATGATATTTTTCCATCCCTTCACTTTCAGTCTGTGTGAGTCCCTTGTTCTGAGGTGGGTCTCAGCATATATATGGGTCATATTTTCTTATCCATTTCGCCACTCGATGTCTTTTGATTGGAGCATTTAATCCATTTATGTTTAAGGTTATTATTGATAGGTACTTATTTGTAGCCATTTTTATTTGGACTTAAACGTAATATGGGAAACCATAAAAATCTTAGCAGAATCCATAGACAGCAAAAAAGCAGGCAAGGCCAAAACCGGTTTGGCTCAGTGGATAGAGCATTGGTCTGTGGACTGAAAGGTCCCAGGTTCGATTCCGGTCAAGGGCATGTACCTGAGTTGCGGGCACATCCCCAGTAGGAGATGTGCAGGAGGCAGCTGATCGATGTTTCTCTCTCATCGATGTTTCTAACTCTCTATCTCTCTCCCTTCCTCTCTGTAAAAAATCAATAAAATATATTAAAAAAAAAAAAGATGAACCCGAAAAGACCCACACCAAGACACATCATAATTACCATGGCAAATGTTCAGGACAAAGAGAGAATCTTACAGGCTGCAAGAGAGAGACGGAAAGTTACATACAAGGGATCTCCCATTAGATTATCAAATGATTTCTCAACAGAAACACATCAGGCCAGAAAAGAATGGACAGAAATCTACAAAGTGATGCAAAGCAAAGGACTGAATCCAAGAATACTCTATCCAGCAGATAAACAATCCAATCAAAAAATGGGCAAAGGACCTAAATAGACACTTTTCAAAAGAGGACATACAGAAAGCCAAGAGACATATGAAAATATGCTCAAAGTTACTAATCATTTGAGAGATGGAAATCAAAACGACAATGAGATACCATCTCATACCTGTCAGAATAGCTATCATCAACAAACAACAAATACTAGCTATGTGGAGAAAAAGGAACCCTCTTGCACTGCTGGTGGGAATGCAGACTGGTGCAGCCACTGTGGAAAAATAATATGGCGTTTCCTCAAAAAATTAAAACTGGCGCTCCCATTTGACCCAGTAATCCCACTTTTAGGAATATATCCCAAGAAATCGAAAACACTAATCAGACAGGATATATGCACCCCTATGTTCATAGCAGCCCAATTTACAATAGCTAAGATTTGGAAACAGCCTAAGTGCCCATCAGCAGATGAGTGGATTAAAAACAGTGGTACATCTACACAATGGAATACTATGCTGCTGTAAAAAAGAAGGAATTCTTACCATTTGCAGCAGCATGGATGGACATGGAAAGCATTACGCTAAGCAAAATAAATCAGTCAGAGAAAGATAAGTATCACATGATCTCACTCATTTGTAGAATATAATGAACAACATACACTAATGAACAAAAATAGAGACAGAGAAACATCGAACAGACCATCAAACTTCAGAGGGAAGGCAGGGGAGCGTGGAGGGAGTAAGAGATCAACCAAAGGACTTGTATGCATGCATGTAAGCATAACCAATGGACACAGACAGTAGGGGGATGAGGGCATGTGCTGGGGGGTGGGGGTGGCCAGGGAGAGGTCAATGAGGGGAAAAGAAGACATATGTAATACTATATGTAATACTTTAAATAATAAAGAATTTTTTCTTTATTAATTAAGGTATTACATATGTGTCCTTATCGCCCCATTGCGCCCCCCCCCACACACACACACACTCATGCCCTCACCCCCTTGGTGTCTGTGAATCATCAAGAAGGCCCCTGGTTTTTTAAAAAAATTTAAATTTTGCCCCAGTTTCCTAGTCTCTAAAATCCCACTGAAAGAGAAGAGTATTTTGGCTTAAAGCTTTGTCTTCTACTCAAATTCCCAAATACCCATGGAAGGATAACATATTAACCCTTATCAAAGATTTAGATATTACTCTGAATGCATTCACCAGACCTCTTACTGAGTCTATATTCAGAAGAAAACAGAGAAAAGGGAAGCGGGAGGTTCTAAGAGTCTGAGGGAAAGAAACCCAACCAAAGGAGAGGGCGGAGAAAGAGGAGAATCCTCTGTACAGACCCAAGTTTTGATTAAAAGTCTTCTCCCCTGTCTCCCTTTGTTCCCTGTCCATTCTGAAAAGCAGACCGACAGCAGAGAGGCAGTGGGAAGAAATAAGCACTAGGCATCCTCTATTCCAGCAGCCATTAATTAAGTAGAGAGGCACCAAATGTGCAGAGAGCCAACTTAGGGAGCAGGGAGTAAAGGATGCAACTGCTCACTGCCTCTGGACACAGAGCATCCTCTGATGAGGTACCACAGCCCTGGGCCTCAGATTCATGAATAAGCAGTCCAATTTGATAGGGATGGTTATAGACACGTTGATTGAAAAGCTCAAAGTAGCTGTGATCTCAAAAAAAAAAAACACTACAGAATTTCAATTTTACAAGATGAAAAGAGTTTTGGAGATAGGTTGTGCAAAAATGTGAATCTATTTAACACTACTGAATTGTACTTAAAAATGGTTAAGATGCTATACTTTATGTTATGTGTATTTTAACACACACAAAAAAATCTTAATACCTTCTCCATCTGGGGACTTAGGAGGAAAACAGGATAGACTCTTATGCCCTTTGGTGGGGATAACAAAACAAGTTGTTGGTCAACAAACCCTCACATGGCATTTAGAGAGAGAACTAAAAAGAAACCATTAAAGTTTGGAGGACATTACTTTTCAGACTCCAGCCGTTCTTTCTTCTGCTTTAGGTCTTCTTCTGTTATCCCTCCCAAGTGTTTATAGTTGCTCTCAGCAATTTCCAGGAGGCGTCTCAATTCTACAATTTTCTTATAGGCTCTCACTGCAAGACAGAGTTGCATAGAAACCTAATTTAGACAGGTACTGGCAGGATGCTCATCCTGTAGCCTATTCTTCCTCTAAAGCCAGTGTCTGTGTGGTTTGGGGAGGAGCTGGAGGGAGGTGGCATACACACAGAAGGATAAATATCAGTAAATAATATTTGGATGAACAAGCAATGATAAACCTAAATGAAGGGTTCTCTCCTGCTCTTGGAGGATGTATCAGATTGTTACGACTTTTAATACTATGAACAAGGAAGTTTAAAGACTAGCAGTGGTTTAGAGTAGTGGTATATTACAGGGCCATGCATAATCTATGATATGACAAAAAATAGAAAAATTGAAATATGCTGCATTTATTTAAAACAATAACTAGCCCAGCTCCCAAATTTTGTGATTAGTTACTTGTAATATCTGTGCAAGAGGATACTGAGAGAAGGAAGTGTGTTGAGAGCAGCTTTTAGCTATTCTCCAACTATCGAACCTTCTATCCTGTATGGTAGTGCTTCTCAACCTGGGGTGATTTTCTCCCCTAAGGACATTTGACATCAGCTGGACACATTGTTGCTTGTGAACTTGATGGGTGGAGGGGAATAGGTTATTGGCATCTACAGGCTCAGGTCTCTTCTCAAATGTCACTCCCTTAGAGAGGACTCCTCTAATGGTTATCTTATCTATAGCACCAACCTACTTTATTTTCTTTATGTATCTATTTTCTTATTATCTGTCACCACCACATCTCCAGAATGTAAATTCTGGGTGATGTTGGGGATTTTATATTGTTCACTGTTTCTCCAATAACTACAACAGTATCTGGCACATTGTAGACAATAAATATTTGCTGCTATTATTATCTGTAAAAATCACTTGCCAACTAACCATGGAAATCCTTGGGATGTCTCTTCCTGTTTCCTATGATCCACTTAAATAATGTTTCCTCTTATATAACATTTTCCTCCTTGAGGGAAAGAGATCATGTCTTACATTTTTATATGTTCAACAACCCCTAGTACCAAAATTATACTAGTTCTGGTTCCCCCCAAAATGAAAGTATTTTACTTTGTAGATAATAGCTATCTTTAGGATAATTTTCAAATTTGGAGGAAAGACAATGGCTATGGCATTTCTTAAAGAACAAATCACAACAGAATTGGCACACTTACTTCTGGCATCTGTTTTATCCGACTCATTAAGATATAAATCATTCTTAGCATCAGTGCTTCCCTCAACACCATGTCTTATAAAACACTTCATATCATCTTCATCAATTTCATTATCATCTATATCATATTTCTGTAGCCCTTCTAATAGCTTTACTGCTGCTAAATGGGCAAACCTGTAGAAAAGAATCACCAATGAACAAGAACCACAATTTTCAAATTGAAACTGCAGTTTGAACTTAATTTAAGTAATTACACTTTGTACATTATGCCACCAACCCACCCATTCAGTAAAGGAACAAAACTATACCTGAAGATCAGTGCCAATTTGATGTACTATATCCAGCTAGTAGTACATGGGAAACTCAGTTATTCGACACTAAGGACAAGTGATCATTAAAGACAGATTCCATCATTTTTATTGGCAAAAACCCAACTGAAAGAGGAGACCAAAAGAGAATTGCTAAATTGAACAGAAAGTTCAAAACCACCCTATTTGATCGCCTGCATTTACTACCTTTTTCTGATGGCCTAATTTAGATTGTAGAATTAGTTATGGTTCCATTTTTAGGGTTAACTATAGTTCTACCACCCTTAATCTTAATTCTTCTTCAACCCAAAGCACTTGACATGGCTTTGAAATTTAATGGAAAAATAATGACTTTCCATCCATATTTTCTATTTTCTTTGCTATTTCCTACATCTCTGAAGCTTCCAATAATATACCTTTGATTTTGGAGTTGTTGTCATTGCATGTAATCTGCATATTTTTCCACAGTTTTCCTAATTAAGATGTTCAATGCTTTCTCTTAGGACAAGGATAATTACTCACTAACCACAAAAACCTCAAATTCTATGTTTTCCATAACCACATAACCACACACACATGTACATACATATATTCTTACCTTTCACCAGGTACTGCAAATCATTAAAGATATAGAAATAAACATATGTAGGAAATTATAAGGTTAACAGAAATCATTAGTTCTATTACTAGGTTGTAATTTAACAGCTTTCATTTACTGAGTACTTGCTTTATACAGATTCAACATTACACTTTACACCTAGCCTTTTGGTGCATGAATGAAAAAAAATGTGGGCCAGAAATTATTATTAACTCCAGATATATTCATAGTATTAAATCACCCATGTAATACTGTTATAAAGATAAACAAATAGACAGGTCAACAGACAAAATATGAAGCCTAGAAATAATCCCACACAAATATGGACACTAACTTGGACAAAGACACAAAGGTAATGAAGTGGAGAAAGGACAGCTTTTTCAACAAATAGTGCTACAACGATTGGATATCTATATTTTTTAAAAAAAGAACACTTTGGATGCATACCTCAAAATGCATTATAGACCTCAATGTAAGACCTAAAACTATACAACATCTAAAAGAAACCAAAGGAGAAAATCTTTGTGACTTTGTTTTAATTGACAATTTCTTAGCTATGATACCAAAAGCATAATCCATAAAAGAACAAATTGATTAAAAAAAAAAAACTTCTGCTCTTCAAAGACATTGTTAACAGAATTAAAAAAACAAGCCTAAACTGGGAGAAAATTTTTACAAAACAAAAATGTAAGGAAAAATTAGTATCCAGAATATATAAATAGCTTGTAAAGCAACAATAAGAAAACAACTCACTTTTAAAAACTGGACAAAAGATCTAAACAGTCACTTCACCAAAAGAAAATATACAAATGGAAAATATGTATATGAAAAAATGCTCAAAATCATTTTTATTAGGAAAACGCAAATTAAAACCACAATGAGTTGCCACTGCACACCTACTAAAATCACTAAAATCAAAGAACCTGACAACAGAGACTTTTGGAATGCCAATGCCTATGGTCACTTTGGAAGCACTTTGGCAGCTTCTTATGAAGTTAAACATACCCTTTGCATATGTCCCACCAATACTACCCCTAAGTATTCACCCAAGTAAACTTAAAGCTTATATTCACACAAAATCCTGTATGTAAATATTTATAGCAGTTTTATTCATAATCACCAAAAAATGGATCCAATCAAGATCTCCTTCAACAGGTTAGTGGATAATCAAACTATGGAATACTATAGAATTCTACATCTGATGGAAAACTATTCAGCAATAAGAAATGAACTACTAATACATACGAATTCTCAAAATAATTGTGCTGGCTTAAAGAAGCCAGCTATATAACAGTACTTACTATATGATTCCATTCATAATAAAACCCTAAAAATGCAAACTAATCTACAGTGACAAAAAGCAGACCGGTGTTTGCTTAGGGAAGCCAGCAGTGGGAGGGAGGGAGATTAAAAAGGAGCACAAGAAGACTTTGGGGGGTCATGAATACTAGTATGTTCACTATCTTGATTGTGAAGGTTTCATGGGTGTCTACATATATCAGAATTCACTAAGTTGTACTGTATAAGTATGTGTACTTTTTTGTATGGCAATATACCTTGATAAAGCTGTTTATGAAAATAAAAATAAAGTGGGCCTCAGTTGCTCACAATCCTAGGTACATAGTACAACAAAAACCACACTCCAATGCTTCAAAGAAATACCACAGACAAAATTTTAAGAAACATGAACTCACAAACAAAAATTTCATGGCAATTTAATGAATGATTAGGTCTTTACATTCTTTCAAGCTTCATATGCATCTAAAAGATGCACACACTCCTACTTTATTTATTTTAGTTTATTGATTTGAGAGAGAGAAACATCGATTTGTTGTTCTACTTATTTATGCATTCATTGGTTGAGTCTTGTATGTGCCCTAACTGGGCATCGAACCAGAAACCTTAGCGTATAGGGAGGACACTCTAACCAACTGAGCTACCCAGTCAGAGCACACACTCCTACTTTAGATTCAAGTAGTACTGAGCCACACGCAGTTCCTCAAACACACAAGTGTCTTCTTATAGCTCCTCCTCCTTCAAGTGTCAGCATAAATGTTGCTTTCTCCAAAAAAATAGTTTTCCTTGACTTCTACATAAATACTGTCCTCCTACAGTTTCCTTCATAACTCTTACCACCATCTGAATTAATATCTCTTCCCCACAACTTCCAAACAGGAAGACTTGGGCACTTTTTATCCTATGTTCTTACTGTACCTTATACATCTATCTACACTAATAAAAGAGAAACATGGTAATTAGCGTACGACCGCTACCCTTTTCATTGGCTAATCAGTGAGTATATGCAAATTAACTGTCAGCCAAGATGGCGGCCGGCAGCCAGGCACTGAAGCGAGCACAAGGCTTGCTTGCTGC